ACACTTAAGAGCCCTCAAGCCGTAGAAAGTTGGCTAGACTCGTTTGATTGTGCCGCTGCCATTCTGCTTCATGAGAGTATAGAAGTAGCCATCAGCTGCGCCTTAAGATGAATTGTTTGAAGTTCATCTTTAAAAATGTACTGAATTCATTCGTAGTTACTGGACTTTCATGGCGTTCATGGAGAAAAATTGTTTTTAACACAACCACCAACCCAAGAAGCTTATGGCTGTGGCAAAGAATTCACAAACACGTAGCCATGGTATTGCAAAGACGAGTTGGCGAAAAAGGCGGGTATGTTTCGCTTACACCGCAGAATGGCATTTCGTTAACGAAGAAGCCAGACCCAGCACTACAACTCCATCTTCGTACATACTTCCCATACAACTAGCAAAAGTCTACACGGCTAAATCACGGAATATCAACAATTAGAAATCTAAGAACAGTTCCGCCGTAGCCGGTCCCAAGTCAGGATTGGAATGATGGAGACTCATGGACCGTAGCGAGGTCTCCTGTGAAACGTAACCACTTGCTCTACATGGTATTGCTGCTGTCGAACTATATACTAGCATTGCAGTCGCTCGGAGTCCCGAGGGGGGGGGCAGGGAAGAGTGTTGGGAAAATAGCAGAATAACAACGGCAGCAGAACAAGGACATGATGATGACAAAAGTACCAATAAGAAACGGAGCCACTACCCGGTCTGAACAGAGGAGGCAGACAGCATGGTGTTATTATAGCAAGTGAGGTAAGGTTCTACTAGGACGATGCCTACGGTCGGAGCACACATTCAGAAATTAGAACATACCGTACTTTGAGGGAAAAAACAGTAGTTAGTTGATGAGGCCGTAAGGTACCAACTCGACATAGCTGGACTCTCGTCAGTGCAGCGCCAGAGGTCTGTAATTCTGAAACTGTACATGTGCAAGCAGTTCTAATCAGGTATCCACATTATCCACATCACGACATGAGCTCAGATCGGTGCGACGTTGGTGTTTTGGTAAAACCCCACCCGGCTGAAAAAATCAATAAGTGGAAGAAGGAGATTGAGCATCATTCGGCTGAATTTGCAACCGGCTTTGTTTATGGAGGTCTATGCCTCTAATTTTGAGGGAATGAAGGGCAGTCTAAGTGTACTGAAGCATAAGTTCAGTGATTTCATATCGAGATGAAGTCATAATTTGATCGACGATGGAGAGAGTATTTTGAAGAACTCCTTAACCGAGAGCGACCGTAGGAAGATTAGACTGAAGAGCAGAAAGCAGCTGATCAGCAGCTTTCTATCTTGAAGAAACGATGAGCCGAAACGTATGCAAAGACATTAACAGATATTTTGACACCACCATGGTATATGTTCATATCCAATGCTATTTATAGAATCAGCAACCATCTTCATCGCATATTCGACTAAGGGCAAGATTTCGTTGTTAAATGCAGTAATAACATGGCAAACATATTGCGATCAATATGGAGAAATAAAAAAGAACGTTGGAGAAAAAATAACTTCTTATTTACACCTTACAGTAAGTCAGTTCCGAATCCGGAAACCTAACCAAAAGTAGTTGGGCAATAAAGAGTAGTAAACCTTAAACTAACAGAAGTATACTTGTTGAACACTTGAAGCTTTAGTAACCACAAAAACGTGTTCAAATATCACCATGAAACAATAATCGACATAACCTCGGGAGAAGGTTTCGTCAATGGGTTTCGGTGGAGAAGACATGAGAACCCCCAGGGCCGCTTCCAGACCGCGGAAATCATGTTGATGCCTACAGCTCAGACAGTAAGGAGACAATTTCAGAGCTTGAACTACGAACATCACCTATTAAAACCGCTGCAAACCAGTCATCAACAACTCCATGAAACACAGCCAACACGTGGATAAAGAGCTTGGCGAAATGGAGCGCTTCCTCTTTCTCAAACTTCAGCATGAGGCTTCGTCTTCGGTTCTGAGGAAAAGAGAGGAAACGAGATTCCTTGAAGGTAGTAACTCCAAAACATTCAAAGTTACATACTGTAACGAATCATGCATGTAGAATTGACGAACGTCTTCGTGGTTAAGTTGTAGAACAGCAACAACGAAAAGCTCAGGTCATTCGTTGACTTAAGCAGGCTCGCCGCCACAACAGCAACAGTCTTGCGACGGCCAGCACCGAGGACAGACTCCAAAGTGGCAAGGCTTTTCATCGAATAACAGCCTGTTCTCTGATGCGTGTCATGACGTGGGACAGAGTTGCTGTCGTCTAAGTGATTCTTATTTCCCAAATGATTTTTTTGAACTCCATCGGGTCAATAAGTGACTCGAGTTTAATTTTTAACTTTCCCGTTGATCAATCATCTAGCCGCCGGCGGCGCTCGACGCACGGCTGTCACGAAACTTGTTACCATATGATGTTGATGGCTGACCGGCCGACCGGCCGACTTGGCGGCGATCATGACGAGAAGTCCGGCGAGAAAAACGACGAGCATCTGAGTGCTGATTGCATACAGAAACGTAATTACGTCAAATCAATTGAATTTTAATGTTCTGGTCAATAAGGGCAAAATACGAACTACCTGCCAGCCGTAGCACACCTTCAGCGCGTGACACCATGACAGTAATGAACAAGTATGACACCAGCAGAAATCTTCAGCTAGTTTCGGCTACGGCTGCGATGTGCGGCTGTTCTCTACGGATATATACTTTTACGTACATAAGAACCTGCAGCACGGGACTCGTTATATTCCGTGACGACCGATAACCTGTTAAGTAATTACAGTTCAAGCGATGGCTCCTGAAGTTCATCCTTGCAAAATACAGGATTGCATTCATGACGTGATCAGTGTATGGCCGATGAATGACCCAGACGCAATAATATACGGTAGAAAATACGATGTTG